CGGGCGGCACACACAGGTAACAGTCACCCTCAGTACCAATAGTCAAAGCATACATGGCAGTAAGGATAGCGTCATAGTCTAGAGCAAATATATCCACATTGTTCCGAAGCAGCTCCAACCAGCGGGGGAGCTCAGCCTCGTTGCCAAACACTGCGCGTCAGGTGTCGCTCAGACAGGCGAAGCAGCGGGACTGTGTGTGGCCAACTGTCCCGCAAGTCTGACCAGCCCGATCACCTGTGCGAATGACGTACAGGCAGCGAGCAGTACTCCGAGACGCCCCACGCTGAGCGTACCACTCACGGAGCTGCTGGGACGTAAGGGTCACGCGCGGAAGCCGCCGCAGCTGCATCTGGCCACTGCCAGAAACTGTCAGAGGTCCACTGGTGATCCCCGATTGATCCTAGGGAAGGGTTACAGGCACGTTGGCCTGGGGGGTTATAGGCGCACTCACCCGCTACACAAAAAAAGCCCTTTTATCCCAGTGGTTAGTGGCTGGGATTCTGACAGAAACTCCCCACTGAACAGCTCCACCGCGACTGCCACTACGGCCGCCGCCACCACTCCCACTGTTGCCGCCACCACTCCCACTGTTGCCACCACCGTCGCCACCACTCCCAACGCGACCATGAAGAGAAGTCATAGCGGGCAAAGCAAGGAGGCGTGTGACCAGCAGGGCAGCACGTAGGGAAGGCCGGGCGGCGAGCAGGCACTAGGGTTAGCGCGTAGGGTAGGGCGGGGCGGCGCACGGTCAGGGAAGGGCGGCGCACGGCCAGATCAGGGCGACGCGTTGCAAGTAGGGCGGCGCGCAGGCAGGGGAGGACGCGCGGGCAGGCAAGGGGCAGCGCGCGGGCCGCAAAGGGCGACGCGCGGGCTGCTAGGGCGGCGCGCGGGCTGCCAGGGGCGGTGCGCGAGCTGCAGGGCAGCGCGCGGCCAGCAGGGCGGCGCGCGGGCAGAGCTGGGAGTGCGCGGGTCGTGCGACGGGCAAGGCAGGGCGTACGTGCGGCGCGTAGGTAGGGCAGGTTGCGCGCGGGTCGCGCGACGGGCAGGGCAGGGCGTACGCGCGGCTCGCGGGCAGGGCAGGGCGTGCGCAGGTCGCATGACGGGCAGGGCAGGGCGTACGCACGGCGCGCGGGCAGGGCAGGGTGTGCGCGGGCCGCGCGACGGGCAGGGCAGGGCGTACGCGCGGCGCGCGGGCAGAGCAGGGCGTGCGTGGGTCGCGTGACGGGCAGGGCAGGGCGTACGCGCGGCGCGCGGGCAGGGCAGGGCGTGCGCGGGGCGGCGCGACGCAGGGCAGGGCGCACGCGGGTGGGGTGCGACGCAGGCAGGGCGTGCATGGGGCGGCGCGAAATAGGGCAGGGCGCGCGCGGGCAGCGCGACACAGGCAGGGCGTGTCGGGGCGGCGCGACGCAAGGCAGGGCAGGGCAAGGCAGTGCAACGGGTGGGGCAGCACGACGGGCAGGAAAGATCGGGTGGGCCCTAACGAAGACGGTCCTGGAACAGGACCTGCTCTGAAACCATGTCAGAATCTAGAAGCAGGAATGAATGCATTGAGCAGAAAGTTGATACAAGTATAACCCTAATTAGGTTGTACCCCTTATTGGCTACCCAACTACAGCCTACACAGTACAATGTTCTGACAGATACGGTACCATATGTGATAACGTGGCAAGCCTAAATGAATGTCTCATCTCGGAGTAACCTCACCACTTGACAGGCAGGCACACAGAGTCACCTTGTTTCGATTCAGAAGCCAAACATATCGTAAGAACTTCTAGAAATGTGACCACTGGTACTGGTTGAAAAAGTCATCTCATCTCACTAAGTAAACCACCTGACAGACGCATGTCATAACATTGTGCTGTGTAGGCTGTCGTGGGGTAGCCAATTTAGGGTACAACCCAATTAGGGTTAGTACTTGTACCAACTTTCTCATCAATGCATTCATTCCTGCTGCTAGATTCTGACATGGTTTCAGAGCAGGTCCTGTTCTAGGACCGTTTTTTTTAGGGCCCACCGTACAGTTCCCTGACCGTAGTGTGTTACGCTGCTCGTAGCGCCCTACCCTGCCCGTCGCGCTGCCCCACCAGTCGCGCTGCCCTGCTCGCGTGCCGCCCTGCTGGCTGCCGCGCTGCCTTGCCCTGCCCTGCATTGCGCTGCCCCGCGCACGCCCTGCCCTGCCCTGCGTTGCGCCGCCCCGCGCACGCCCTACCCCGCGTCGTCTGCCCGCGAACGCCCTGCCCTGCGTCACGCTGCCCGTGTGCCCCTGCTGCCCGTCGCGTCGCCCGTGCAGGCTGCCCCAGCCCGTCGCGTCTCCCGTCCGCCCTGCCCTGCCCGTCGCGTCGCCCGTGCGGGCTGCCCCAGCCCGCCGCGTCGCCCGTACGCCCTGCCCTGCCCGTGGCATCGCCCGTGCGGGCTGCCCCAGCTCGCCGCGTCGCCCGTACGCCCTGCCCTGCCCGTCGCGTCGCCCGTACGGGCTACCCCAACCCGCCACGTCGCCCGTACGCTCTGCCCCTGCCCGTCGCTTGCCCTGCTGGCTGCGCGCCGCCCTGTGCAGCCCGCGCGCTGCCCTTTTCTGCCTGCGCGCCGCCCTGGCAGCCTGCGCGCCGCCCTTACAGCCCGCGCATCGCCCTTTCCAGCCCGCGCACTGCCTCTTGCCTGCTCGCGCGCCCTCCCCTACCCGAGCGCCGCCCTACTTGCAGCGCGCCGCCCTACTCTGGCCGCGCGCCGCCCTGCTCTGGCCGCGCGCCGCCCTTCCCTGACCGTGCGCCGCCCCGCCCTACCCTACGCACTACCCTAGTGCCTGCTCCTCGCTCTGCCTTCCCTGCGTGCTGCCCTGCTGGTCGCACGCCTCCTTGCTTTGCCCGCTATGACATCTCTTCGTGGTAATGGTGGGAGTGGTGGCGACCGTGGTGGCAACAGTAGGAGTGGTGGCAGCAGTGGGAGTGGTGGCGGCGGCCGTAGTGGCAGTCGTGGTGGCGCTGTTCAGTGGGGAGTTTTTGGCGGAGGCCAGATGTAGCTGCGGCGGCTTCCGCGCGTGACCCTTACGTCCTAGCAGCTCCGTGAGTGGTACGCCCAGCGTTGTGCATCTCGGAGTACTGCTCGCTGCCCGTACGTCATTCGCACATGTGCTCGGGCAGGTCAGACTTGCGGGACACTTGGCCACACACAGTCCCACTGCTTCGCATGCCTGAGCGACTCCTGGCGCGCAGTGTTTGAAGACGAGGCTGAGCTCCCCCGCTGGCTAGAGCTGCTTCGGGACAAAGTGGATATATTTGCTCTAGACTATGACGCTATCCTTACTGCCATGTATGCTTTGACTGCTGGTACTGAGGGTGACTGTTCCTTGTGTGTGCCGCCCGACCCTGGTATAGAGGCTGCTGCTCTAGGTGCTAGTGAGTCTGCTCTCTCTGGTACTACGCCTGCTGAGGCCTTGCACACCTTCATGCTTGACTCAGGTGCTTCTCGCTGCTTCTTTCGCGACAGTACCATAGTCACACCACTCCCTAGACCAGTTGCAGTCTCATAGGCTGACCCCTCTGGGGGCCCAGTTCTTGCACGTTCCTCCACTGTTCTCCCGTGTCCGGCGGTTCCGTCCGGCTCACTGTCAGGTCCCCGCCTCCCCTCGTTCTCGACGAACTTGGTGAGTAACGCGGTCCTTCAGGATGCAGGGGTTGATACCTTTACCCCTGGAGGCCAGCGTGTGGCGATCTGCACGTGCTCCCGGACTGGCCGTCACCTGGCCACGTTCACCCGTCGGCCTGGGTCGAGTCTGTACACACTGACTACTGCGCCTCCTCAGGTCGCTGCGTCTGCTCAGGTGTCCGCGTCAGGTCAGGTAGCCGCCTCAAGCTCGTGTCGCCTCCTGTCGCACCAGACTCTCCTGTGGCACCACCGCCTTGGTCACCCCTCCCTGCCACGCCTTCGTGGCATGCACTCCCGCCTCCTTGTCTCTGGTCTTCCCAGGGTTCTCCCTCCCCTCCCACCCTCGCGTGCCCCGCCTTGCATTCCTTGCGTCGAGGGGCGGCAGCGCGCCGCTCCTCACTCCTCCTCGTTTCCCCCGACGACTGCTCCCCTGCAGACTCTCCACATGGACGTGTGGGGCCCAGCCCACGTCACTGGATAGGGCCGTGAGCGGTACTTTTTGCTGGTTGTTGACGACTACTCGCGTTACACCACGGTCTTCCCCTCGCGCAGCAAGGGGGAGGTCCTTGATGTCTTGATCCCTTGGATCCGCGCTGTTCGTCTCCAGCTCCGCGAGCGGTTCCGCACGGACCTTCCCGTCCTACGTCTGCACTCTGACAGAGGTGGTGAGTTTTCCTCCGACCTCTTGCAGGACTTTTGTCAGGGGGAGGGCATCCTCTAGTCGTTCACGCTTCCGGCCTCCCCGCAGCAGAATGGGATTGCAGAGCGCCGCATTGGCTTAGTCATGGAGGTGGCTCGTACCTCTATGATCCATGCGGCTGCTCCCCATTTTCTGTGGCCGTTTGCGGTCCGGTATGCTGCGCATCAGCTCAACCTCTGGCCCTGTGTCTCCTTGCCAGAGACCTCGCCTACACTGCTTTGTACGGGGAAGGTTGGCGAGGCGTCTGTGTTCAGGGTCTGGGGCTCTCGTGCCTTTGTCCGCGATACCTCCGCGGACAAGCTCTCCTCCCGCACCATTCCCTGTGTCTTCCTTGGCTTCCCTCCTGACGCGCCTGGCTGGCAGTTTTACCATCCCACCTCGTGCCGTATCCTGCCCTCTCAGGACGTCACGTTTGACGAGTCGGTTCCCTTCTACCGTCTCTTCCCCTACCGCTCTGCCCCTCTCCCCCCTCCGCCGCTCTTCCTCGCTCCAGGCCCCCCTCCGGTAGACCCCCTCCCCCCTTAGGGTCCTGCTCCTTCAGGTGTCTCTCAGGTAGACCCACTTCCCTTAGCTGAGCCTGTCGAGGTCACTGGTGACTCTGGTGCTGCTGGGGGTGGTGCTGCTCGGGGTACTGCGTCTGGGGGTGCTGAGCCTGAGCATGCGGAGCCTGGGGGTGCTGAGCCTGAGCGTGCGGAGCCTGGGGGTGCTGAGCCTGAGCGTGCGGAGCCTGGGGGTGCTGAGCCTGTACGTGCAGAGCCTGAGGGTGCTGCGTGCGCCTGGGGGTGCTGTGTCTGGGGGTGCTGAGCCTGGGGGTACTGAGCCTGGGGGTGCTGCGTCTGCTGGTAGTCCTCTGGGTACCTCACCGCAGCGGTCTAGCCAGCGAGAGCCTCTCTCGCCCCAGCAGCTGCGCGAGTGGTTTGCTCGGCGCACCCGCCTTCGGAGTCGCGCTACTGGAGCTGGAGGCACAGGAGCTGCAGGCACTGGCCCTGGAGGTACTGGAGGTGGAGGCACTGGAGCTGGGGGCACTTGCGCTGGAGGCGCTGGAGCTGGAGGTGCTGGAGCTGCAGACGCTGGAGCTGCAGACGCTGGAGCTGGAGGCGCTAGAGCTGGAGGCCCTCGAGCTGGAGGCCCTCGAGCTGGAGGCACTGACGCTGGAGGTACTGGAGCTGGAGGTACTGGTGATACTGGGGTTGCTAGTCCTGGCAGCACTGGTGCTGGAGGCACTGTGGAGCCTCTCTCCCCACAGCAGCTGCGCGAGTGGTACGCTCGGCGCACCCGCCTTCGGAGTCGCGCGCCTGCAGCTGGCGGCGCTGGAGCTGGAGGCACTGGGGCTGGAGGCGCTGGAGCTGGAGGCACTGGCGCTGGAGGCACTGGAGCTGGAGGCGCTGGCGCTGGAGGCACTGGAGCTGGAGGCACTGGAGCTGGAGACGCTGGAGCTGGAGGCGCTGGCGCTGGAGGCGCTGGAGCTGGAGGCGCTAGCGCTGGAGGTGCTGCTGCTGGAGGCACTGGAGCTGGAGACGCTGGAGCTGGAGGCGCTGGAGCTGGAGGTGCTGGCGCTGGAGGCACTGGGACTAGAGACGCTGGCGCTGGAGGCGCTGGAGCTGGTGGCGCTGGAGCTGGAGCTGGTGGCGCTGGAGACCCCGGAGCTGGAGGTACTGGTGTCGGAGCCGCTGGAGCTGGTGGCGCTGGAGCTGGTGGCGCTGGAGCTGGAGGTGGTTGCGCTGGAGGCACTGGAGCTGGAGGCGCTGGAGCTGGTGGCGCTGGAGCTGGATATGCTGGCGCTGGAGACCCTGGAGCTGGAGGTACTGGTGCTGTGGGCACTTTGCAGCAGCGCCCATTTTTCTTGTCGCCGCCGCAGCTGTCCGACCTACCGCCTGAATCGGTGCTCTGTCAGGTTCTTAGTCTTCCTTCGTCCACTGCCCTTCCTCCGGACTCACCGCTGCCTGCCCCCCCTCGTTACACTACACAACCAGCCTCCCTTACAGAGCGTCGTGAGCCTGCGTCTCGTCCTGCCTCCCCTGTTCGCACTGTTCGTCGTGCTCGACATGTCCCTCGTCCGCGTCCTCCTCCTATGCCAGGTACTCACACTATGGCACTTCGTCCTTCCTCTGTTCTGCATCGTGTCCCTCTGCCGTCTCCTCCTGCGTTCTCTCTTCCTGACGTTCTAGACCCTGAGTCTGACTTGGTCCGTGCTGCCACTCCCACTATCACGAATCTCCTGGCCACAGTCGTCACTGACCCGTCGTTTGAGTCTACTGTTGCGTCTGCCTTAGTTGCTGAGCTTGTGGACTTTGCTGCTGCGTGTCGTCTCGACTACGCTTGTCGTCTTGTTGCTAAGTCTGAGTCTGTCTGTCCTCCGTCCGTCGGAGGTGAGTGTGCTCTTGGCACGGACGTCCTTGAGGACAGGCAGGAGGACTTTGAGTGTCTTGCGGCTGCTGTACCTCATCTCGTGGCCTGGCTGCTTGCACCTGAGGGAGACCCGGATGCACCAAACATCCCGACCCCGCGCTCTTACGCAGAGGCGATTTCGGGTCCTTACTCCTCTCAGTGGCAGACAGCCATGGACGCAGAGATGGCATCCTAGAAGTCCACAGGCACTTACGTCGACGCAGTTCCCCCTCCTGGGGCGAACATAGTCGATGACATGTGGATTTTCAGGGTGAAGCGGCCGCCGGGTTCTCCGCCTGTCTTCAAGGCTCGTTACGTTGCTCGAGGCTTCAGTCAGCGACAGGGAGTTGACTTCTTCCAGACCTTCTCCCCTACCCCGAAGATGACCACTCTTCGGGTTCTGCTGCACGTTGCCGCTCAGCGTGACTACGAGCTTCACTCTCTTAACTTCAGCACAGCTTTCTTACAGGGCAGCCTGCATGAGGAGATCTGGTTGCGCCGCCCACCTGGCTTCACTCGGTCGTTTCCTACAGGTACCCTGTGGAGCCTCCGGCGGCCAGTCTACGGTCTCCGCCAGGCGCCTCGTGAGTGGCACGACACACTGAGGACGACACTTGCGGCTCTTGGGTTTGCTCCTTCGACTGCTGACCCGTCGCTGTTTCTGCGCACAGACACTTCGCTGCCGCCGTTCTACATCCTTGTGTACGTCGACGACTTGGTTTTTGCCACTGCTGACACTGAGGCACTGGCCCTTGTGAAGTCGGAGCTGCAGAAGAGACACATGTGCACAGACCTGGGTGAGCTGCGCAGCTATCTTGGCTTGCAGATCACCCGGGACAGAGCACGACGCACCATCACCCTGACTCAGTCATACATGGTGCAGCAGGTCCTTCAGCGCTTCGGCTTCTAGTTCTCCTCACCACAGTCCACTCCTCTGCGTACCGGTCACTAGCTCTCAGCTCCACCTTCGGACGAGTCCGTAGAGCCGAGTGGCCCGTATCCAGAGCTTGTGGGCTGCCTCATGTACCTGATGACCTGCACTCGACCTGACCTTGCGTACCCTCTTAGCATCTACGTTGCGCCTGGGAGACACAGGCGAGAGCACTGGGAGGCTGCTAAGAGGGTGCTGGTGCTTGGAGGACAGGGTCGAGTTGTCCTCACTGGACACTCAGACGCCTCTTGGGTTGACGACCTGGCTACGCAGCGGTCGTCTCAGGGTTACACCTTCAGCCTTGGTTCCGGCTCTGTTTCTTGGCGGTCTACCCGCTCTTTTTCTGTTCTCAGCTCCAGTTGTGAGGCTGAGATCTACGCAAGAGCCATGGCTGCACAGGAGTTACGCTGGCTCACCTACCTGCTGACTGACTTGGGAGAGCGGCCTCGTTCTCCTCCAGTTTTGTACGTGGACAACAAGGTTGCTATTGCCTTGTGTCAAGAGCACAGACTGGAGCAAAGAACGAAGCACATCGCTCTACGCTACTTCCTGGCTCGAGAGTTGCAGCAGCGTGGCCAGCTTCGTCTTGCTTACGTGGCCACACGGGCCAACACAACTGATACCTTCACCAAGGCACTTCCGCCTGGTGATTATCAGCGTCTGTATACTGGTTTTGGTCTTGTGCCTACGTTTTCTCACTTGCTCACTGCGTGACTTTGCTTGTACTGTGATCTCTATATATATACCTGCATGCTTTCACTTGCTAGGTTGTGATCACTGTACTGTTTGCTTTGTTTTATATAACTCAGCATGTGAACCGGCCTTGTGGCCATTTGCTTGCGCTCGGAGTGTGTGGTGACGTTGTGATCCACCCTGAGCTTGCTTTGCTTTTTCAGTAACTGCTTGTACTCCCCCACCTTGCCTATGGGGGTGTGTCAGAACATTGTGTTGTGTAGGTTGTAGTGGGGTAGCCAATATGGGGTACAACCCAATTAGGGTTAGTACTTGTACCAACTTTCTCATCATGTCAGAGGTCCATTGGTGATCCCCAATTGATCCTAGGGAAGGGTTACAGGCACGGCGGCGGGGGGGGTTATGGGCGCACTCACCCGCTACACAAACAAGCCCTTTTATCCCAGTGATTAGTGGCTAGCATTCTGACATGATATCAGAGTGAAGGCCTCGGGTTCGAATCCCAGTGTGTGCACCTCGGGCATCCCAGTGCGGGGGGGTGTCAGAGGTCCACTGGTGATCTCCGATTGTTCCTAAGGAAGAGTTATAGGTGTTACGAATAGTAACATTTAATTGTTACTGAGCACTCCTCACCGCAGCAAAGAGAAGCACGCAGTATCGAAGCAAGAACGCGAACCGTCAGACGCTTGGAGATTGACTCGAAGTGTCAGACAGTTGGGGCGCATCTGGACCGTCGGAGCAGACGGCATCGGGCAGCTGCAGGCAGGATGGTTTCGGCGGGAACAGTTTCGTAACTGTACGCGCCGCACGGTTGGGAATGTATTTGAATAAGGGAATGTAACTAATAGAGTACATGGCTAGTTAGGTCGCTTCGTATTCCCCTGTACTCCTATTTATATCGTTGTATTTGCATGTTTTAATCATCTCAAAGCATTTTACATTCACTCTGCTATTGAGGTCAAGGGCCCACCAACTATCTACCTGCGTGCGAACCTTCCCGAGTAGATCCTGGTAAGCGATCATTCTCTGATCGTAGCAATAGGTATAGTGGCCTGGGGGGTTATGGGCGCACTCACCCGCTACACAAACAAGCCCTTTTATCTCAGTGGTTAGTGGCTGGCATTCTGACACATCAATGCAATTCATTTCTGCTGCTGGATTCTGACAACGCACGCGTGTACTTACTGTCTGCTGCCCTTGAAAAAGAGGCATCATTTGGTTAACTTGGGTTCGACTCAACAAGCCCATTAATGCAGAAAGAACCTTCTGAAGCACAAGCCGCATTACGCAGAGACTTAAAGCCAGCAGCTAAAATAGTGACCCCCCCCTTCTAGTTGGGTCCACTTGAAGTCTAAAACTCACTTTGGAAAGTTGAAGTGTTTTACCAAAATATTTTCACTGACGCGAGAAACACTTGTTGAGTCTTTCACATTTTTTTATCAAACAACAATCCGTCGCAAGCATGGGCAAATGTCGCAAGCTTGCGACGTGCAAATCCCATGCACATTGCGTGCCAATTTCGACTAGTGCTTGCATGTGCAATTCAGGCAGAGCAATTGCCACTCACACATGTGCCTGCAAGGCCTGCAATCACAACGTAGGAAAGACAAGAGGAAAACAACAGAGAGTTTCAATGTGACGAGATACGAGAGAGATAGGGCGACGGAAACAAGGACGCGTGCAGAGAAATGTGAGAGCAAAATCGCGGAATGGTAGTGCGCGAGGGCGACGAGATGAGTGATGGGAGGGGAGAGAAGAAGGGTGACGGGATGGCATTTCGAGGAGAGCGTGAGGGCGACGAGGTCGGTGATGGGAAGGGAAATACGAAATGCGACGGGCGAGCATTTCGGCTGAGCGCGAGGACGACGAGGTACGAAGCGCGTGGATGATTCGAGAGTACGAAGGGCGCGGGGAGGGCGTTCCAGATCGAGCGCGACGGCGACGAGTTGGGCGATGGGAGGGGAGGTTGGGTGGGGGAGGAGAGAGCGACGGCGACGGGAAGGGCGAGTAGAGAGAGAGGGCGAGGGAGGGAGGGGAGAGAGCGAAGGAGATGGGAAGGGCGCGGAGAGAGGGAGGGCGATGAGTGAAGGGAGGGGAGAGAGCGAAGGAGATGGGAAGGGCGCGGAGAGAGGGAGGGCGACGGGGAGGGAGGGGAGAGAGCGAAGGAGATGGGAAGGGCGCGGAGAGAGGGAGGGCGATGAGTGAAGGGAGGGAAGAGAGCGAAGGAGATGGGAAGGGCGCGGAGAGAGGGAGGGCGATGAGTGAAGGGAGGGAAGAGAGCGAAGGAGATGGGAAGGGCGCGGAGAGAGGGAGGGCGATGAGTGAAGGGAGGGAAGAGAGCGAAGGAGATGGGAAGGGCGCGGAGAGAGGGAGGGCGATGAGTGAAGGGAGGGAAGAGAGCGAAGGAGATGGGAAGGGCGCGGAGAGAGGGAGGGCGATGAGTGAAGGGAGGGAAGAGAGCGAAGGAGATGGGAAGGGCGCGGAGAGAGGGAGGGCGATGAGTGAAGGGAGGGAAGAGAGCGAAGGAGATGGGAAGGGCGCGGAGAGAGGGAGGGCGATGAGTGAAGGGAGGGAAGAGAGCGAAGGAGATGGGAAGGGCGCGGAGAGAGGGAGGGCGATGAGTGAAGGGAGGGAAGAGAGCGAAGGAGATGGGAAGGGCGCGGAGAGAGGGAGGGCGATGAGTGAAGGGAGGGAAGAGAGCGAAGGAGATGGGAAGGGCGCGGAGAGAGGGAGGGCGATGAGTGAAGGGAGGGAAGAGAGCGAAGGAGATGGGAAGGGCGCGGAGAGAGGGAGGGCGATGAGTGAAGGGAGGGAAGAGAGCGAAGGAGATGGGAAGGGCGCGGAGAGAGGGAGGGCGATGAGTGAAGGGAGGGAAGAGAGCGAAGGAGATGGGAAGGGCGCGGAGAGAGGGAGGGCGATGAGTGAAGGGAGGGAAGAGAGCGAAGGAGATGGGAAGGGCGCGGAGAGAGGGAGGGCGACGGGGAGGGAGGGGAGAGAGCGAAGGAGATGGGAAGGGCGCGGAGAGAGGGAGGGCGACGGGGAGGGAGGGGAGAGAGCGAAGGAGATGGGAAGGGCGCGGAGAGAGGGAGGGCGATGAGTGAAGGGAGGGAAGAGAGCGAAGGAGATGGGAAGGGCGCGGAGAGAGGGAGGGCGATGAGTGAAGGGAGGGAAGAGAGCGAAGGAGATGGGAAGGGCGCGGAGAGAGGGAGGGCGATGAGTGAAGGGAGGGAAGAGAGCGAAGGAGATGGGAAGGGCGCGGAGAGAGGGAGGGCGACGGGGAGGGAGGGGAGAGAGCGAAGGAGATGGGAAGGGCGCGGAGAGAGGGAGGGCGACGGGGAGGGAGGGGAGAGAGCGAAGGAGATGGGAAGGGCGCGGAGAGAGGGAGGGCGATGAGTGAAGGGAGGGAAGAGAGCGAAGGAGATGGGAAGGGCGCGGAGAGAGGGAGGGCGATGAGTGAAGGGAGGGAAGAGAGCGAAGGAGATGGGAAGGGCGCGGAGAGAGGGAGGGCGACGGGGAGGGAGGGGAGAGAGCGAAGGAGATGGGAAGGGCGCGGAGAGAGGGAGGGCGACGGG